AAAAAAGACGTGAAACTTCAAGAAACCTCATGTTGGAATTAGCAGCATTGGAGAAACTCCTGTGTACGTCCAGACCTTGAATGTATATTGAGTGTTGACAAAGTTCTAATGATGTGTACCTTTGTCCATGTTCACAAAAACCAGTTGCAAGTTAGTTCTGTAATCTAGTTAATGTATCTACCTTCTTGTATTAGGGAATTATTGTGTTATTTTGCTTTTTACCAAAAAGGATGTCGTGGGTTTTCCCTGTAGTTCTTCCCTTACACCTTTTCTTAATAACCGTGACTTTAGGGGCTTTAAAACGGTCTATCCCGAGTTTGTGTCTAATGGAGAATGAGCTTGTTCACCTCCTGAAGGCTGTCATTATTCTTCGTGAGTTTGAGGATTGGGCCTCCGTGGCTCTCAGGAGTTTCAGACTTGAACCCAAACACCAAATACGTCTTGGCTGTATTTGTGTGGAAGGAGCTGGGCTCAACCCAACTGCCAAGTCAGTATTGTTAGAGATTTCATTTTACAACACGAAAATGAATCAGCGTCAAAAGATTTTAGAACCACAGAAAGATAAACCTGGAAAGACCTTAGAGAACTATCCGGCCAACTCTTCGTTTTAAACGCAAAAGATTCATGACCCAGAATGTTTGCCCAAGGTCATCTGCCAAGGACAAAACAAGACAAGAATCCAAGTGTACGGCTCCCGATACAGTGTTCTTCCTCCTACCTGACATCATCTCTGTTCAGCAGATTTTGGATTTCATTCTTATTATATTTCAGTATGATTGTTGATTTATTTCTTTTAACTGACCAAGAGCGTTTCAGAAGTGTTGTGATTGATCCGTGTCATGACTTACATACATTAATCTCCTGCCAAAGACACCAGCTGCCATCAGTTGAAGCTGGCATGTCACATGTGAAGATCATTGTGTATGATTTGGTTTAATGTTTGTGACATATGTTAGCAAATGTGCTAGTTCTATCCTCACTGTTGTATTTTGCTGATCCTTCATGAAGGGAACGGTGTATGTCAATCAGACTACTCAGTGTCACAAAGTCCGTATTCTATGGAGAATGAAAAACTGCAGCACTAAGTTAACTGGAGATTTTTGCCGCTCTGACAAAGCAAAATCGTTCATTCCACATACAGATGAAGTAACAAAATGGTGTAATCTTCCTGCAAAATACATAACACTTTTGTTTGCCAGCCTGATAGCTTGCCTTTCCTGTAAGCCAATTTCGTTTTCAGAGAAGAGGTCCTACGATGTAGACCAAGTTTAAATTCTGATGCTAAAGAAAATTTTACTGGAGGACCCTTTTTACTTTTTTTTTTTTCTTTTTGCCTTTTTTTTCAGCAAAATAAGGAACTCTTCAGTTTGAGAGGTCACCTGTTTTGAGCACACCTTCACAGGATAGATCGCGTCTAGCTGATATTTATACCTGTGCTTTCTAGTACTACTTCTGGAAATTTTATATCGTTGTGCCTTTTACTCAGTGATCTTCTATAGCCCGACACCGAAGGTTTCAGCCTATCTGTTCCCCGTTCCCTCCTATGCTACTTTAGAAATCCAGGTATCGGTCGTTCAGCAACCTGTGCCGAGCATTCACTGTGTCCAAGGGTCGAAAGTGCCCCACGGGGATGAGAAAGTAGATACTTAGTGAAACGTGTGCTGATCTCAGGGGTCATTTTTCTGTCCTCGTTGGTGCCTCCTCATACAGAGATTGGGTGGGAAACTACCAAGCCCAACCCTATGCGAAAGTACTTCTTTAGATCCTTTAGAATGATAACACTAAGCGCTAACGTCTCTTGAGCTCTTCCCATGTGCCACCTGCTATTCTGTGCTCTTGATACATATTAACTCATAACAACCCTTTACAGTAGGTGCTCCTGTTAGCCCATTTTACGAGCAAGGAGACTGAGGCATGGAGAGGTTCAATAAGATGCTTATTGATACATGACAGAAATGATTCAAACTCAGGCAGTCTGGCTGATGAAGGCCACCCCAGATTCGTTCCTCCGGTCTTACGGGTTTGCTCATCTTCAGGAGGCTTCCAGTAAAATGCCAGGATGATCTTTTCAAACAGGGAAGGGTAGCTAGCAGGCCTGCAAAAGAAATCATTAGGGGTGGTGGGAGCCTGTGTGTTTTGGGAGAAAGACTGGGGAGTGGGGTGGATAGGGTGATGGAGAGATGTGGCTGGAAGGAGAGCAAAGTACTAAAAAGGGCACTAAGGCAATACCAGAAAATGTCCTGCCCTCCAGAGTGATCTGGAAGTTTCCCTGAGACAGGAAGAATGAGAGAGCAGGATAAAAAGCTGAGTGGTGGTATAGGATGTTTGATGTGCAGTTATCTGTATGGATAGCTACAATATAAAGGGGAAAAGCTAACTTTGCAAGTTACTTGTTTTTTTGTTTGTTTGTTTGTTTTATTTATATATGAAATTTATTGTCAAATTGGTTTCCATACAACACCCAGTGCTCATCCCAAAAGGTGCCCTCCTCAACACCCATCACCCACCCTCTCCTCCCTCCCACCCCCCATCAACCCCCAGTTTGCTCTCAGTTCTCAACAGTCCCTTATGCTTTGGCTCTCTCCCACTCTAACCTCTTTTTTTTTTTTTTTTCCTTCCCCTCCCCCATGGGTTCCTGCTAAGTTTCTCCGGATCCACATAAGAGTGAAACCATATGGTATCTGTCTTTCTCTGTATGGCTTATTTCACTTAGCATCACACTCTCCAGTTCCATCCACGTTGCTACAGCAAGTTACTTGTTTTTAAAGAAAGCGTGGTAAGTAGGAAAGAAAATAAGGTAGGGGTACAGCCAAACATAATAGGTATACGTGGGTTAAACTCACCCATGAAAAAGAAAGGATGTTAAGATGGGA